AGCCTCGCCGGACCACCGCCGGAGCCTCGCCGGACCACCGCCGGAGCCTCGCCGGACCACCGCCGCAGTTTCTCCGCACCACCATCTCAAGGCCCGACGTTTAGGCCCGATGTTCAGGCCCGACGTTCTACTAAAGGTCCGACATTCAGGCCCGACGTTCTGCTAAAGACCCGACGTCCTGCTTAAGGCCCGACGTTCAGTCCCTACGTCCTGCTGAAGACCCGACGTCCTGCTTAAGGCCCGACGTTCAGTCCCTACGTCCTGCTGAAGACCCGACGTCCTGCTTAAGGCCCGATGTTCTGCTAAAGACCCGACATCCTGCTTAAGGCCCGACGTCCAGTCCCTATGTCCTGCTGAAGACCCGACGTCCTGCTTAAGGCCCGACGTCCAGTCCCTACGTCCTGCTGAAGACCCGACGTCCTGCTTAAAGCCCGACATTCAGACCCCGGTCTCCTGCCTACTACGGTCTTCCCGACCTCCGTCGCCTACTATGGTCCTTTCGACCTCCATCAACATTCAAAGGTCTTTCAGACCCCAGTCTCCTGCCGACTACGGTCTTCCCGACCTCCGTCGCCTACTATGGTCATTCCGACCTCCATTAACAAACAACGGTCTTTCTGACCCCAATCTCCTGCCGACTACGGTCCTTCAGAGAGAATAGAACTTGGAATACCTAAATAAACACGACAATGAACAACTACTTTAAAAGCTCGACTACAAGCAAATTAATTACAAGAGCTAAGGAAGTCAAAGTCCATTATGTAAGTTGAACTAACATCATAATGAGCAAAAATGTTGCAATAATATCAATGTTGAAAAACTCAACAAAGTTTTAATGCCAGACATCATCATAATAAATTTGGTCAGAAGGAGGAAGATATTGGTGGTCTGGAGAAAAATTACATCACAATAGGGGTGCAAGTGTGCAACTGAGTCAAGCCGGCTCGCGAGCCTGCTCTGGCTCGACTCGTTAATTGGCTCGATGAGCCGAGCTTATTGAGCTCGCGAGTCGAGCTCGAACACGAGTTCGAGCTCGAACGCTAAACGAGCTCGAGCTCGGACACTGGGCTGATCGACTCGTTTGCTCGTCGAGTAGCTCGGGTCGCCGTTTGCGGGAGGCCGGGAGCGGTGCGAGGGAGCTATTGCGGATCGGGCGCGGCCGGCGGGAGGCGGGAGGCGGACCGGGGCTGCACCTGCCCGGAGCGGGCGATGCGCGGGATCGGGCGCGGGTGTGGATTTGGCGTGGGATC